AGAACCGCTGGGGAGAACCCAGGCTCCGGATTTCCAGGCCAGGCTTCTCTCCTTTTTCCCAGGTGCCAGCTGGGGTACTAGGTAGCTGGCTAAAGCTTAGGCCTGCAGGACTGTGCTTACAGCTTTGGCCTTCTTGGGCCCGGATCGGGCAGCCCTGGTGGAGTGCGGCAGGAAAGAGGTGGTGCACCTGGGGGGGCCCAAGTGGTTAATCAGGCCTGGGCGCAGTGCCTGGTCTCTGGAATATTCATAAGGCCCCTCCAGCTGTGCCAGGCAATCAGGGTGCTGATTGCTCCCCCATCTGCAGCTTAACATTCCACTCCAGAGAGGAGAAAGCTGGCTGCTGAATGTTAACTAGGGAAAACCAGGCCCTGGCCTTCACAACAGTCTGAACAAGAGCCCCCGGGAGGACAAATCCACTCCTTCGAGATCTGCCAACCAGCCAGAACGTAGCTGTTCACCAGCGTCGTGGGCCGTGGAAGGAGTCTTGGGTTCAGAAATGAGAGAGCTGGTTTCAGGTCCAGCTCTGCGCTGACCAGCTGTGTGCTCATCTCTGTTCCCCCAGCTGTGACCAGGGGGTGGCCCTACCCCCCCCCCTCAGAGGACTGATCACTGCAGAGCACTGTAGGAGGCTGAGATATCGCCCTGGTTGTTTGGGGTTGCTGGGGACACGGCTCCTACACTACAGACGAGTTTTTACTCACAAACATTGAAATCCACAGGCCAACTGGCTTTGAGGACACGGCACAAAGGGAGAGAAGCTTCACTTCCCGAAGCCTTGCTCCAAAGGCTCAGGATTTGGGGGTCCTGGGCTCATCCAGCCCAAACCTCTTGGAGAAGCAAGAAAGAAGTGAGGAGGACACAGACAGCAGATGGAAAACAATTTGGAAAAGATGAACGAGGACAATGTTCTGTGACCTTCTGCTTGCTCAGGACAACGGTCTGGAGCCACTGTGGGACAATGTAGAGGAGGGACAAAAGTGTGCCGCCTGAGTTCATAGCTCATAATTAACACTCAAAGCAATGAATAGGATTCACCAAGAAAAGGCCCAGATCTTTTCTGTTTATATTGAACAACACAGGAAACTGTTTTTAGAGAGGTTTCTATCAAACTGAGGTGGGAAACCTAGAGTGGAAATAATATAACCTTCCCAGAAAATCGACCAGCATGGAACAGCTCATCTCTGCGGAGATAATGAGGGGTTTCTGAATTCGCCACTATTGTTATTGTTGTTTACTAGACCAACCTCCCCGCCCCCGCCAGCCGGGCGCTTGCCTGCAGACCCAGCTCTGACCACAGGGGGCAGGAGACTGACAGACTAGGCCCTGGCAGCAGGGGAAGGGAGGAGCTGGCCCTGATCCCCAAGGCCTCTAGGGGCGGGACCCTGCTCCAGTACGATCGGAATCTTAGCTCAAACTAATAAATGAACCACCTAGGAGCTGCCTCACCCTCCCAGCCACCCCTTCACCCTCACCCTCACCCCCACCCCCACCCCCTGCCCTCACTATAGATTCAGTTTGCGTTTTCTACAACAAGCTCATAAGTGTGTGTTATTTGGGAGAAAACGTTTGCAGGGCACATAAAGGGGCACTGACGGGAACCAGCTTTGGGTTGTGTGGCCTGGGAAACCTCAGCGGCTCCCTCTTCACAGCAGCAAATTACTTTTATGAGACTTTTTCCCCCTAAAGTTCAAAACATTAATGTTTATTCAAAAAATGAAAAAATATTGTCAAGGACAATGCAGACGATGAAAGGGCACACATGACCCCAGTACTTGAGGATGACCCCTTGTAATATTAGGTATCTATTCTCTCGGTCCTTCCCAGACAGGTAGATAGATACATAGGTATTTTTAAACGGGATAGTTTTTTCCACTTAACAGTATGTTATAAACAGTTTTCCCTCATTAAATATTCTCCTGCACCAGTGGTTCTCCAAGTATGACCTGGGACCTCGGGGGATCCCCAGGGCTGTTTCAGGGGGTCTGCTGGTTTAAAGCCATTTCCCTAATCACACGGAGCCACCGTTTGCCTTCTCAGCCCATTCTCTCCGGAGTGCGCGGCGGAGTCTTCCGGAGGCTGCCTGACGCGGGACGTCATAGCAGGCTGGATGCAAAGCAGACGCTGCACAGACTGACAACAGGGGTGCAAGCCCTGAAAACAATGCCATTCTTCTCGTTTGTTTTTTTGTTTTGGAAGACAATTATTTTTTTCATAAAAACAGGTTTGTTGGAGAACATGACTTAATTTTATTATTGTTATTTTAAGTAAATTAACATACATATTTTTGAAATTCCTTTGTTTTATTTTAAACATGCTAACCATTGATAGATACAGCCCGTACAAGCAAAGGCTCTTTGGGGTCCGAAATAATTTCTGAGAGGCAGGTGACTCTGAGGTTGACACTTGAGGACTGCGCTACATCATCGGTTTTGATGACTGCACGGGGTCCCCTTGTGCCACGGTCCCCTAATTTGTCCGCCCATTTCCTCGCTGATGAGCCTGTGGGCTGTGTCCAGCTTTCACTGTTCGAGAAGTGCCGGGTACATCAGCACATACTCACGGAAAGAGAACATTTTGTGAGCTGAGAGAAAGCAACAGAACCCAGCTGGTGGCTGGGCTGTGTGCACCATCCCTCCCCGTCCACTATCAATCAAATTAAACAAAATGTACGGGAGAAGGCGAAGAGATAAAGTTGGAAAGCTGTGTGTGCATGGACCAGACTCTACATGTGTGTGCACAGAGAGAAACCTTACATGTTTCTGCATGGAGACACTTACCCTGTGAGGAGCACTCACTTTTCTGTTGTCCTTGAAGTGCTGACAGAACTTGGTCATATTCGAGACCAGGGCTACCGAGAGCATGAAACACTGGTACCATTACAGAAATCGACAGGAAGAGTTTAGAAGCTTTTATGTAATTTGATAAACTTTGTTTTTGTTGGAAAGAAAAAGATGATGTTTGTAAACAAAAATCGAGTACTAGGAAATGCTGCACACATTCCTGGAGACTATTTCTGTGGGACGGGCCCTGGAGGCGGAGCAGCCGGGCGGTGACAACGTGCACCCTCGCTTGTGGGTGGACCTCGCCGGGCCGCCTCCACTGACACCTCACCACGCAGCGTGCGGAGAGCGTGCCTGAGCGCCTACCCTCTCACAACTTCGGCAATACCGAGGAGTATTGCTCTGTTAACTCTTTGCCCAGTAATGAGTTAACAGATACATTTTGTCTTCTGAGAATTGCTTACTCATCTCCTCAGCCCACTTTCTACTAGGTTCTTTTTCTTATTGGTTCCTCTGGAGCCCTTATATATTCTGACACGAATCTTTTGTCTGTTGTATATTTTAACTATTGTACTCAATTACGTGGTTTGCCTTTCATTTTGCTTACATGTCTCATTGCAGTACATTTCACCCTTCTGAAAAGAATTAATCTATTAATCATTTACTTTATGGCTTGGAGATTCTTGTCTTGCTGTAGAAAGCCCTTCCTTATTGCACGATTAAAAAAATGCTCTTCATTTTCCTCCAACATACTTGCAGCTTTTCTTTTTGTTTTCTTTTAATGTTTAACCCAGCCGGAAATAACTTTTGTTGTGATGTGAGGCACCTTTGCAAGCCAGCAAGGGCAGTATGGCAGGGGCCTGGCAACAGGCCTGAGCCTAGTAGGGATGTTGCTAGGGACCTGCAGGCTGGAGCTGAGCTAGTTAGACACGTATCTGAGCCCATCTGGTTTGAAAGGGGAGACAAGCTACATTTCGGAATCCTTTCGAATGTGTTAGAGCCACTGAGGGCATCTGCAAAGTTGAGGAGCAGAGCTGATGATTCCCCCAAGAAAAGAGTAAAACATCTTAAACATGTCGTGTGGTTCAGAAGTTTTCACGTCCATTATCCCACTCAATGCCGACATCGGACATAGGCAGAAGAGGACTTTGAATCCCCATCGTGTCATCACAGAAAACTGAAGTGCAGAGCGGTTAAGTGATATGCCCAAGGTCACACAGCCGGTAAGTGGCACGGCCCAGCCAGAACCCAGACCTCTTGCTGCCAAGGCCGGGGCTCCTTGGACCTATCGGCGCCTTGGGCTCTGTCCTCAGTATCACCTCAGCTGCCCCCTTTGGTGGAAGGGAGGATCTGGCCCAAGTCTTTCCCAAATCTGCGCTCCCCCACTGTGGGCAGGAGAGACTGGAAAAAGCCATCCTCCACCACCAGCTGACAGTGGATTTCAAGAACCAGGCCTTCCTCCTTATGTACCTCCTCCTCCCCCGAGCAGTTTGGCAGGAGGTGGGAGTGGAGATGAGTCAGAAGAAGAGCTCAGCCATAAACAAGCAGGACTGACAGCGAGTGCTTTTCCTGAGGCGCATGACCTCCCACAGGCCTCTGGGGACTCTGCCTGAATGGCAGAGCCTCAAAATGTCATGATCCAGGCTTTGCAGGTTGAATTTGCTAAATTCACAAAGGCAGTCACGGAGGAGGGAAACCTTTAGGTAGAAGGTGGGGGATGAGGGAGAAGGTAAATGACTGCCAGTCTCTCAGTAGAGAGCTGGCAATGGTTTTCTTTTCTTTCTTTTTTTTACATGTGTGCCATTTTTGCAGATGCCCAATGTACCTATGGCCAGGTCTTCCTCCTTTCCAGCTCCTTTCCAGCTCCAAACTAAAAGAACGTCCAGGACACAGAATAGTAGAGCTGGGCTTGGAGATCAGATGTTCCAATCCCTCGGGTTAATGAGAACCCCAGGTACCCTAAGGAAAGTGACTTCTCCATAAGCACACCTTTGGGGAAGTTCTGGGACCAGATCTCAGGTCTCTGGACCACAGCCTGCACTTGTTCTTGTGAATCCCAGGAAAACCTTGGGAAGGTACCAACACTGGACACAGGATGAGGAAGTAAAAGGCGGTTGTGGGGGTGCAGAGAGAAATAGAGGCAATCACCCAAGAGTGACCAAGGAGGGCTTCTCTCAGCCCTGGGGCTGCCACCAGGGATAGGGAGCGGCGGGCACCTACCTGCTCCAGGGGGATGACTAGGAAGGACCCTCCTCCCGCGCTCTCAGTGACGATGGCCAGGAAGCGGGCGTTGACGGCACAAAAGTGGTTATCATGCACGTTCTTGGTGATGGGGATCCCATCAAAGCAGTGCTCTCGGTTGGCCACCTTTCCGTATACGTTCCGGAACTTGGAGCTTCGGTACTGCGGACGCCAGGACATCTGTGAGGGGCCAGAGGAGACAACGGTCAGGCTGGTCACTGCCTTGGGCTGGGCAGCAGGGGAGGGAAGCTGCTCCCCAGGAAGGCAGGGGGTGGGCCAGCCCTGGCACCACCCTCAGAACACAGGGAGAAGGGAAGGAACCTCCAAGAGTTGCGTGCCAACCTGTGCCGAGGACTGTTAGTCTTTCAGTAAAGTCCTACAGGGGCGAAGACTGGCTGGGGGCATTCACACATTTCCTGCTTTTGGTACACATGCCCATCCCACCTTCCAGAAAGGACGCAGGGTCCTTTCACTGCCAAGGATCACGCCATGTGACCGAGCAGATCACACCCCCAGCAACCCGAATGGGCTGCCTCCCACAAGCCAGAAACCACTCAGTTCAGCACAGGAGGTGCAGACAGAGGAGGCCGGGCGTTCACAGACAGAACATGGCTGATGGCCAGGGGCGGGAGGACAATGTCCCCTCTACATGCAAACAACCACCCCTCGCCATCTCCTCCTCTGATTCTCTCGGCCTTCTAACCCACAAGTGCACCCTCAGAAATCGTTTAGTCTGCGTGTCACCGTCACTGTTGTCAGGTACAAAGCAGTGAAGGGACTCGTCCAAAGTTGCACAGCTAATGGCTCAGACCAGGAACACGTGCTTTAGGCTGAAAATCTGAGAAGTGTTCCCACGCCAGGCCACCCTTCGGAGAAGGGCTTCCCAGTGTGTGACCCACCAGTCACCTGTACCAGAATCATTCATTTGGCGGGGGTGGGGGATTTCCGATCTTCCCTCCCACATCATCTGTTGGAAATGCAGATCCTGGGATCCAGTCAAGACCTACTGAATTCAATATTTGGAGGATGGAGCCCAGAAACTAGCATTTTAGTCAGCTCCAATGCCCTGCAGTGAGACTGAAGTTTAAGAGTCTGTGTTCTGGAGAGTGCAGTGGTGCCTGTCCCCACCCCTCTCTGTCCAGTATCCATGACACAGGCTCCAACCAAGCGGCCAGCTGACCGACCAGCTGGTTCCTCCTGCAGGCCATCCCCTGTGTGCACAGAGGCTGGGCGGGGCCTGGACGGGCAGCCCACAACGGAGCCAGCTTCCCTGTGGGACGGCACCCCGCGGGGAACACTACAAATGGATGCCATCACGGGCGGGGGGGGGGGGGGGGGCTGGCAGACACACATCCGGCGAGGTGAGCCATAAACGAGCACCGGCCCAGGGCCTGACATACAGCAGGAGCTCAATAAATGCTTTGCAGAATGAATATGCTGTTCACCTGACTTTGCCATTACCCATCACCTCCCCTTCCTGTCACACCTCCTGATGTGTCTTGCGTCTCCCAACCTATCTCGGGACAGAAAGCAGCAGGCTCATTTCTTCACATGAACTTTCCGAGGGGAGGAAAACAGAAGGAAACCCAGCCACAGAATCAGGAAACCAACTCTGGGAATTTGACTGAAAACAAGGCTTTGCATTTGATTTAAATAAAGCCAGGAGCTCACCCACAAGTCTTTACTGGAGGAAGAATTTCAGAGCCCAGGAGGAGAATCACGGGGAAGGCTCCTCGCCTTTACTCCCCACCCCTTCTCCACTCCCCCCGCCCCATCCCCCTCCGCCCCACAGGGCCAGTCTCCCTACTCTCCACTCCTCCCATCCCCCCAGCCCTTGCCCTCTCTGTAGCCCATCGCTGCCTGCCTTCTCCTCTCTCTGTGGAATTCTGCCCAAGACCATTCAGATCGAAGTCCTGGTGACCAAGCCCACGGGACAGCTGCCCGGTTGCCCGCTCTCGGCTGCGCGGCCTCCTGCAAGCCCCTGCCACTCTCTCAGCATCTGATTCCTCGGCAGGATTCCATCAGCGCTTCCCAGGACGGGCCTCAGCTGGACACCTACAGTCCCTTCACACGGTGCAGAGATGAAGTTTATAATTACGGTCATTATCTGTTTATTTTAATTTCCATTAAAAAATATAACTGGCATGCCAAATCCATGATGTTGCGGATATTATTGCTAATAAGGCTAAGTTAAAAATAATGAATCAATTCGAAGAAACAAATTGTATGAAAATTATAGTATGGGTGGTCCATGGACCTAGCAAAGATTCAGTCTGATCGAAGTGCTGGCAGTTGCTCTGCCTTTTCCCGGTAGACCGTGCGATTCCAGAGTTTCCGTGGGAGAGAAAGGAGGTGGCGAGCATGCTCACTCCAACCTCCTGTTCCTTGCTGGTGCAGTTCTGGCCTGCAGTGCCTTCACCCCTCTTCTCTGCCCAGCACAGCATTAGCCTGCCCAGCTCACCCTGACTCCACAGCCCATAGTGGCCCCCTGGGAGCCGTTGGACAACCAGCACCTCTTCCTCAGCTCCCAGCCTATGCCTGTCCCAGGCTCTCTTGTCCTGAGGGGCTGGTCTCAGCTCTGCGATGGCAATGACCCCACAGCTTCTGAGCAGGACTGAAGACTCTGCTTTTCTGGGGGCCCAGGTGGGTCATGGATACCGTGGGGAAACCTGCTGGGCACCTGGCCCCATGACAGGCTGCTCGAAGGGAACCCAGCCTGGTGGGGAGACGGGCGGGTGCAGTTCAGCCTCCACCAGTAGACAAGGTTTGGAGCCACTGCCTACCCAAGTCTGGTGAGCAGGACCATGAGTTCTTTCTCCACCTGCAGCACAGCCCATGGCCAGCACCTGGGACAGGCTGAACAAGGCCTGTGCTGACTTCCTTGCAGGGTCTCATGGGCAACAGTGAGAAGCAAGGTAAAAAGACCCAGACTGAGAGCCACACACATCTGGATGCAAGTGCAGCCTCTGCACTGTCCAGCTGTGTGACTTGGGCAGGCCACTGAACCGCTCTGTGCTGCCTCCAGTTACTGAAAAGGAGGCTAATGATCTCCACAGCCTCCAAGTGTGTGGAAGAGTCAGTGCCAAGTTGCCGTGATGTCTGGCACCCCTCTGGACACTCATTTAATAGGGCAGAATAGGACAGGCTGGGCACTGTGCCGCCCTCCCCACACCCGGTCCAATCCAAACACTCCAGAGCCCTGCAGGCTAAGGGGCTGGGACTGAACTCGGGCTGAGTTCAGGGAAGGGACTGAACTTGGGCCTACTGGGAAATGTAGCATCCCAGAGCTCCTGGAATATCCAGACAAGATGACCCTCCACACCACATGCCAAGTTCCCTGGGGAAGCTTGCAGTTGCCGGCATCTCCAGGTCTGTTATCCCACTGGACTTCGTTTCTTTTTTTTTAAATTTTTAAAAATTGTATTGATTATGCCATTACAGTTGTTCTATATCCCCCTTCATTCCCCTCCACTCTGCATACCCCTCCCCCATCGTTCCCCCCTTTAGTTTATGACCACGTGTCTCAAGTTCTTTAGATTCTATATTTCCCATACTATTCTTGCCCTCCCCCTATCTATTTTCTACCTACCATTTATGCCACTTATTTTCTGTACCTTTTCCCCTCCTTCACCTCCTCCCACTCCCCTGTTGCTAACCCTCCATGTGATCTTCATTTCTATGGTTCTGCTCCTGATCTAGCTGTCCTCTTAGTTTGCTATTGTTTTAGGTGTGGTTGTTAATAACTGTGAATTTGCTGTCCTTTCACTGTTCATCTTTTTAATCTTTTTCTTAGATAAGTCCCTTTAACATTTCATATAATAAGGGCTTGGTGATGATGAACTCCTTGAATTTGATCTTATCTGAGAACCACTTTATCTGTCCTTCCATTCTAAATGAAAGCTTTGCTGGATAGAGCAATCTTGGTTGTAGGTCTTTGGATTTCATGACTTAGAATACCTCTTTCCAGCCCCTTTTTGCCTGTAAGGTCTCTTTTGAGAAATCTGCTGACAGTCTGATGGGAACTCCTTTGTAGGTGACTGTCCCCTTATCTCTTGCTGCTTCTAGGATTCTCCCCTTCATTTTAATCTTGGCTAATATAATTATGATGTGCCTTGGTGTGTTCATTCTTGGGTCCAACTTCTTTGGGACTCTCTGAGCTTCCTGGATTTCCTGGAAGTCTATTGCCTTTGCCAGATTGGAGAAATTCTCCTTTATTATTTGTTCAAATAAGGTTTCCACTTGTGGCTGTTCCTCTTCCCTTTCTGGTACCCCTATAATTTGGGTGTTGGAGCGTTTAAAGATGTCCTGGAGGTTCCTAAGCCTCTCCTCATTTTTTTGAATTCTTGTTTCTTCATCCTTTTCTGTTTGGTCATTTTTTTCTTCCTTCTGGTCCACTCCCTTGATTTGAGTCCCAGTTTCCTTTCCATCACTATTGGTTTCCTGTGCATTGCCCTTCATTTCAACTAATTTAGCCTTCATATGTTCCTCTAATTTGTGACTAAAATCAACCAGTTCTGTGAGCATCCTGATCACCAGTGTTTTGAACTGTGCATCTGAAAGTTTGTCTATTTCTTGGTTGCTTAGAATTATGGGCTCTGGGACTTTGAGTTCTTGAGCCACGTTTGGTCTGTTCGTGCCTGTTACGTATGAGGAGCAGAGCCCCAGGCGTTCACCAGGGCGGGGCCACCCAGGTCGCTGGGTTGTGACGCTGTATGTGGGGGCGGGGTCAGAGCGGGGCTATAGCTGTCCCCTCTGCTGCTTCCCGCTGCTGGGGCCTGCGCGGTCTGTCTCAATGCTCGCTCCTTTGCTGGTTTATCGTGGACTTCATTTCTTCCTCCTCCACCTCTCTTCCACCAGTCTCCTTCCTCTTTTCTTTGTTCTTTCCACAGTGTCCCACTGTGGAAAGGCTCCTAGTGGACACACTTGCATTCTTCCTGAACATATTCCACATTGCCCCTCACAGCCCAGCTAGCATTTCTGAACTGGATGTTGCATCCTGGGGGGCCAGAGCCCTCAGGGACTGCACTCAGTTGACATGTTTTTTCAGCGAGTACCTCTCCTGGGGTAGCCATGCAACCCCTACCATACACCTCCCCTCCATACCACCCCCAGCAGGCTCTGGAATGATGCAGGCTGTATCATTTCAGGAGAAAATGGGGTGTGTCTTTTTAAGGGCTTTG